ACTGGATGATCTCCTGAGGTCCCTCTCAACCCCTGTGATTCTTAAAACAGTACCAGAAAATTGGCTGCAAGACACTGGTACTTTGGTTTTTTGGGTGAGTGGTTTTTTGGGGGGGGGATAGCAACTGTCCTGTGTAGTGAAGGAAAATGCAGAGAGCTATAAAACTTCAATATTACACCTCTGATAATTTTAACTAATTAAATATTAATCAATCCAGAGCTCAGGGTGCGTCTCATTTAACTATTTTCTGTCTTTTTCAGATTAACATCCACCCTGACGTTGCTCAGTAAGAGACTGAACTGTTACAAAATTACACTTGAGTGTCTGCCCAAAAACGTGGATTTCTATAAAAAGTTTGGCTATTCTGTATCTGAAGAAAACTACATGTTTCAACGGTTCTTTAATTAAGAACTTGTTTTGTTGGGGGTTTTTTTTTTTGGTAAAGACTGTTGTTGGAGGAGCTTGGGCTACAAACATTCTCTTCGTGGGAAAATTTCTATAGTTTATTGCTGCAAATATAATGATCCCTAAAAATAATTAACATCAAATATGTAAATCCTGCAACAAAAAGAAATTACTGACATTTTAGAAGGGTCCTTTGAGTTAGGAAATAAGCTCTTAGAACTAATTTTTACCACTGTTTAGTCTAAGTGAAGCTTTTTTTGTGTGTGTTCTGAGTTACAAAGGACTCTTGTTCCAGGGATGGTTTTTAACCAAAGGTATATATATATATATATATATTTTTATCTCAAATTTTTTCTTGCATTGTATTTTTCTAAAGGTTTGTGCTTCTTTTCTTGGTAGCTGAAGTACAGCTCGGGGGATGGTGCTGCTCCTGGCTGTACTTCACAGAAGGGTGACGTAGCTCAGGTAGGGCTGATGCTTCTCTTGTGCCCAATTAGTGACACAGGACGGGGGTTTCTTCTGGGGTTTGGGTTTTTTTTCGATGAAACCTCACTGAAAAGCACTGTTGCTGTTAAGGTACCTAAAGTTTTATAGGCACTATTTTCCAAACCCAAATTTGTGACTATTTATGATGAGAGGGGAGAATCCTTATGGGCTATGTCAAAGCTGATGTTCCGAGTCTAAAAATGGATGTGTACTTCTCACTGCAGGGGTCCTGCACTTTAGCTGATAACTTCACTTTGTTTTCAGGATAATTATTTGTTTTCTGACACAAACACACACACAAAAAAATAACCTGATGGTTTATGATGGGACAAATGTAACTGGGAATGTCTGGTGGGTGGAATACACCCCATGTTGTGTGGGGCTCTGGCTGGGACTCCAGGGGAGTGTGATTTGGGGTTGGCAGTTGATACATTCAGCTTCATCAGGCACACCCAGCCGAGTGGCTCTACTTGAGCTGCCAAGGGCCAGGTGGGCTGTGGTTTTGCTGGTCAAGGTTTATGCCAAGGGCATAGCAACCCACCAGAGAAATCCCCCATCCTGCTCCTGAGGGGTCCTTGCTGCTTTGGAGCATCCCTCTTGCTGTAAGATTGGAGAAATGATTTTTAGCACTTTCGCTGGTGATGGTGAGCAAAGAATCTACAAAGCCCTGGTTTGAACAGTCGTGTTTTGTGCGAAGAGAGTGACAAATCCCACATCTCTGAATAGGGCATTATAAATCCATGAAGGTTCGTACAGAACAACCAGTCTTGTTTGTGAACAGTTGGGCCTCACAGAATGTTCTTTCATTGTGGTGTGGAGAGCTACTTTAAGCTGCGGTGGGGGTTCTATTTAATGTTCCTGATGGTACTCCACTCGATATAGTGTTCCCTTGGTGATGTTTGTTTTATTTATTGATTATTTTTTTTTAGAAATATTTGTTGAAGCTGAATAAATGAAGACTGCCACATGGATTGATCTGCTTTTCACATCGCTGTGTGTACCTGTTGTCTTTCAGAGCAGTGCCACCTGCTGCAGATACATTTGTTTTCCTTTCTCCAGACTGAAAAGAACACTTTTGGAGACTCCATATGGATTATTAGAATCCCAGAATGTTGTGAGTTGTGAGGGACCCACCA